TGTGTAACTGTGACTGAGAGTCCTCTGTATGTGTGTATCTGTCTGTGCAATATTTATTTGACAAGCGCATTGAGTTTGATTTGTGCTTATAAGTATGCTTAGGAGGGGGGCTACAGAGTGGGACTTGAATGAAAAAGTGAAAAGTCATTTTCCACTTGTTGCTGCCTCACCTTCATGGCTAAGACGATAGGCCACCCGGATGGTCAAAGTGTGGCACACGAGGTGCCAGAATTAAATCAAAATCATGCTTTAAAGTATTTTTTACGATTATCTTTCGTAATACTTACGTAAAAGGATTATTCTTGATGATTTTAGGACTGTAATTTCTAGAGTCTGCTTGCAGACTTGCGTCTTGTCCGCCTTGCAGACAGTAAAAGGAAAGGACCAGAACTTTGAAATGAAAGCATATATAACCAAATAATTATATCGAAATCATTATCATTGCTTAATAAGAAACGATTTAATTGGGTATTATGTTCAAGCTTTGTTTACTATTTTAAATTTTTTTTATATTATATACGAGTAATATGAGTACTTTTAGTGCACTCTTCTGCTCTCGACAGCTGATAAATATTTTAAATATCAAATAATTTTTATTAATATACCCGGGGGACAATTACCAATTTAGTATTTAAGAAAATATAATTCTCTTTCAAATGAAAATATTTTATTTGGCCTTGCAGCGGCTTTCCAACACCCTTCGGGCTGTTATGATGCGTTTCTTTCCACAAATTGCAAAAACTGCCAGAGCGTGAATAACTCTATATGTATCAAAAAATGCATTCGAACTGATATGAAATGTTAATTGCCAGTCTGCTTGAGGGCAATGCACAACTTGCACTGTTCGCTCGAAGTTAAATGAACAATTCTGCTCGGGGCAGGTGCAGAGAGATTTATGATAAGCATACATTTAATTGGGTCGAATGTGCAGCACTGGCAGATGCACCGTTTTGCTAGAGTTTTCAACTGTCAGAAGACCTGTGTCAAAAGTTCAAAAGCTTTTAAACAAAAACTCAACAAGTTTAAAGGTTTTTTTTCTTAACGTAAGTGGGAACCCTTTCAACTGCATACATACATAAATTTTAAGTAAGTATATTTGTTTGTTGCTGTTAAATAAAATACTATGGAATAAGCTTGAGTTATAATTCCTAGAGTAAGCATAAGGAGCTTCGTAATTGAATTACTGGAACCCGCTTGTAAGTGCATCGTGTTTTGCCAGATCTTTGGCATGTGGACAAACACATGTTCATCCATGTTGGCGATTGAATTCATCCAAGTACGAGCAGATGTATATGTATATCAGTTGTGCATTTGTGTGTACAATCTATTAGATGTTTGAATATGAAATTTGTCAGCTTGCCATTTGGCCTCCTGCACATACATATGACAAAACACTTAACTTTAACCTTAACCTTAGCCATTTCTTAGAAGCCATTTCTTGTGCATATTTCATGTGCGGCTGCTGTTGCTGCAACAGCTAATGCTCTGCAACAGGAAGAACAACAACCACTACCAAATTGACTAATGGCCTTGACTGAAGGTGGGGTTTACGAGCTTCGAGGCGGAGCTTAGGCCATGGGGAAGGATGAAAGATGGAAGTACCACCAACAACAGCAGTAAAGGCAGCAACAGCAACAGCAGCAACAGCAGCTGCATGGCCTGATAAACATTTGTTTAACATGACCATTAAGACAAGTCAAACTGCAAACGCACACGCATGCACACACAGGGATATAGGGATACAGGGACCTCATAGATACACTCATCCATGCAAATGCCGCAATATGGCATAGAACATGCAATATGCCACACACGGACCGCACACTCACACTCACACACAGAGACACACACACACACACACACATACTAATAAGTAACAAACAACAGACACGATTACAACCAAATGACACAGAAAATCACTCCTGGGCGTTATGTAGATGCTCATTGCATTCGGTTTTGGACCTACTCCGCCCCGATACCATCCCAAAAACCCATACCTACCACCACCCGACCCGTCCAGGCCCGGTCAGCTCTAGTTCGGTTCGGGTCTGTGCGGTTCGGTTCGGTTCATATGAAAGTAAATTAGCTTAGTGCTCAGTGATGCACTGGGAAAACCTAATATAACCCGGAACTCGGTTGGCGCTGTCGTATGATAAATGTATTTGTGGGTACAAATGTAGGTGCTTTTAAAAGCTTTTTCTGTTCGAAAACTATTCGTAAAAAGATCGGAAAAATTATGCTTCTTAAATATAGCTCACGACTTTAACCTGATTATATTCATAGCTCCAACAATAATAAAAATCGCGATACAGTTGGATCTAACAATTTCCTATTTTTTCAGACTTTCTACATTTTTATCCGTGAGGACATGGTTAATTTATTAATGCACTGAAATAATTATATATTTTCCTCCTTTTCAGAATGAATTTTCGCTCAGTGAACCCGGCTGACTTCTGGCAGCTATTTATGTGCAATCTGCGCCCCTTTCCATCAGGGGCCGGGGACCCATGCATGTTCCATAGGCCGGTGCGTGTCTGCAGTCCACAAAATACGCCGTGCCACAATTCCATTGCCGGACGGACAAAAGGAGAGGAGGACATAAGCTCAGCCGACTGACTTAGTGACTCTCTCCTGCCCTGGCTATCGGTCCAGCCAATAGGGCTTAAATCGACATAAATGCGGTCATTGGGGGCCCAGGACCAAGGGCGAGCATTTCGCTTTCGATTTGTTTATAGCTGCGTTTAATAAATTACAAATGAACTTGCAACTTTGCCTCATCTTCCGCTCTCCATCCGGAATTGAGTTAGCATTGAGCTCATGACAAAGCAGGATAGTCTTGTAGCTTCTTCTCATTTGACTAGATAATCTATGGGCACTAACAGCATTTGCATCAATATTGAGGTGGGGATCCCTGGGTCTCTGGGCAATAAATGGAAAATTAAAGGAGGAAAAATATGGGTTAAATAATGGATGATAGTTATCTTCTATACAGGAAATGCACAGCAGCACATCTATTAATACATATATAGAAATACTTAAAAAACATCTTGGATAATAACTGTCAAAGAATATTCCAAACTGGCTGAAGTCCTACATACTTAACCCTACTACTTATTACGGCTATTAAATCCTTCACCGACTGCAATCATCGCCAGTGACCAATTGCTGACCTTACAGCCCCATTTCTTGCCACAAGTCTTTAATACACTTACCCTTAAAGGACTCTGTTTCCATAGTAATTACAATCCCATGGTAAGGCATTCTTCCATATTTTTCCTTATAAGTATAAGTACTTATTGATGGTATACTTTGTTTTTTTTGTATTTTTTCTTCGCTTGTCGAATGTTTATTTCGTTTGGCTTCGATGCTTTCTCTATTAGTTTTTGTGAGTGTTTGTAGGAGTTCTAAGAAATATGAGTGCCCCGTGGCTGGTCGAACGGCTGCTCCAAGTTCCAGCTGCCATCTATACATCGAACCCCACACCCACACCCACAGCCACACCCCACTCTCTCAGCTGCTTATCCTGCAGCTCCTTCTGATGCTGATGCCTGCCCCCGCAGTGACTCATAAAAATAGTGCAAAATAGCAAATGCTACGAGCACAAGCGCCAACGAACCAAAAATGAAATGGCTTAAGCTTTCCAAAGCGTCGCCGATGGTAACTCCATTCCCATTCCCCATCCTCCATCCTCTTCCCCTTCTCTCTCTCTCTCTCTCTCTCTCACTCTGGGCCGTTGCTGCTGATCAAATATAAATGCATTTTCGCCCGACCACAAAATGTGTTTAGCCGGAAATTGTACGTGGAGAGGGTGCACTGAGAGAAACGATTGGGCTCAGTGGTTTCAATTTGATTGGAGATTATCCGAACTATACACAAAAGCCTGCAATTATGGCACTGATTACAATTAAGGTAAACAACAAAAAGGTAAAGAAAATTACTGTACAGAGCCATAGCTCTGTTAACATCCTACTTTAACAGCCCGTTCCAGCTCTCCGTTAACAGTCGCCTGTGTGCACCGCACTGTAACCGCTCTGACGATCCACACGGCTCTCGAGCGAATTTTCCATATCTCCATAGATGCTATTTAAAGATTTTATTAATTGTAAATTATGTGTAGTTCCTTTTGCAAGAGAAATTTGTAACCAGAGAAACAAATGTAGCTAAAAACGATCAAAAAATATTCGAATCAATAAATAAAATCATATGAAAAAATCATCAGGTCAATCATAGACGAAAGGCTTTTTTAAGTGCACAAGAGAACCAAAAGGTGGGGCCGTTGCAGGCTCCCTTGGAATGAGGTGAGGAGTGAGTTGCTGTGGGTGTGCGTGGTGGGGTTGTGAGGGCTAAGACTCGCTTGGCCCTGCTCTGGCTGCCATATGTTCCATTAGCCTTTTTTAAGAGCCTATTGCCATCGCGGTTGCCATCGCTTTTCGACTGCTGAAATTTTAACAGATTTTCGCTACCCACTCCGCTTCTGAGCCAAACATTGTGGTGGAGCTTTACACTAAAAAACAGCAACACAGGACAAAAATATAGCAAAATGAACAGCAAACAAAAAAGAGGGAGAAAAGCTTTAGTGGAGTATTTTAGCTAAAAATGCTTTCATCTTGGTTTTTTTTGGGAACGTTCTTAGTAGAACCTGATCTTTCTGGATTTTTTGGGTACACGAACTGAAAAGCAACACTGCAGGAATGAAAAGAATAAGAATAACAAATAGCAATACCAACGATTTTGTAGGATGTTTTGCCTATGGTCGTATTTCAATGGACTTTAATGTAACTAACTGTAAGGTTGGTGACCTTAGGGCAAAGCAGGCAGTGTGAGTAATATATGAATTCATATACACACATATATACAGTCAGACAGCCATGAAGTACTGAAGATAATAATTTGGCAATTATCAAATGAAAATGGCAATTTAAAATTTTTTTGTTTTTGTTGATATAACGAGAAGATCCAAAAGTAATTTACTATTGCAAAGAAATCGTAGAAAAGTAAACTGAACTGATTCTTAACTCAGATATTATTAAATATGTACATAATTTTAGCATTTGTTTGCCTATTTCTTGATCAGATTTTTACCTCCAATGCCAATCTGAATGATCGGGATCAGGTGATCCTCGGCAAGCTTCTAAATTGTAAAGATCGGGAGTATAAATCCGAAAACAGATTGCGTCGAAATTTCTGGGTGTTGGAGAACTTTATTCAGGCGGATCATGGCCGCATGCGCTGCTCATCGAACGTTACCTATACAACCCATGCGGACTATAGGTATTTGGATAATTTGGTGCCGCTGCTGGAGCGTTGGCGATCGCCTTTGAGTCTGGCTATGTACGCACCCGGAACGGACTGGGAGCCCACCATCGAGAGCATCCTGTGGCTACTACAGTGTGATGGTGGTCGGGACTTGGTGCGAGGTCTGACCAGTTTTCACATCTACTTCGAAGTCGCACACACGCCCAAGGTAATGCTCAAGGCAGAGACGTACCTCGCACGGAAGTTGGACTGCACTAGGCCGCCACCTTACCAGGTGATGGCCTGGAACAAGACCTATCGCTCGCAGAAAGACCTCGACTATCCCGTCAACACTGGCCGGAATGTGGCCCGGGAGGCATCGCTCACCTACTTCGTTCTGGCCTCGGACATCGAGCTGTATCCCACGCCGGACCTGGTGCCCAGGTTCTTTAATATGCTCGGACGACCCACGTACAGATCCACGGTAAAGTCACTGGTACCTGTGGTCTATGTGCTGCGCATCTTTGAGGTGGAGTCCGATGCGACGGTACCCAGCAACAAGCTGGAGCTGCAGAGCATGTTGTGGAGCTCTCAGGCGGTGCCCTTCCACATGAACATCTGCCCCCACTGCCACAAGGGACCCAAGCTGGAGGAGTGGATCAATGCCAGCGTCTCGGATGAACTGAATGTCTTTCACAAGGGCGTGCGGATTGGCAGGGAGAACCGCTGGGAGCCCATTTTCATTGGCACCACCAACGATCCGCCGTACGATGAGCGCCTGAGCTGGGAGCGCATGAGCGATAAGATGACCCAAGCCTATGCCATGTGTGCTCTGGGCTATGAGTTTCACATATTGGACAACTCCTTTCTGGTGCACAAGCCTGGCATTAAGCTCAGCTTGGATAGTCCCGAACGTCACGAGCTGGCTCTCAGAACAGAGTCGGTTATCCGCATGAGATTCTTTCGAGAGATGCGCATCATTTACGGCAGTCGTACGGGCTGCTTGCCATAGGAATCGAAGAGCAATCTCTAGCTAGATCAGATCTTTCGTGCACTATTTAACTTCAAAACTGCGCAATATAGTAGCTCTGCCTTTTGCCTATTTGCATCGATTGGGTTGGGGCTGTCTGCCCCACAATGGGGAGTGTTTGTTAATAGTTCGTGGATGGTTTGGCGAGTGATGTTTTGTGGACTCGTTAACATCGTCATTGGCGTCAGTGGCGCCTGGCAGCTGCACTCGCAGCACCTGGCTGACGCTGCAGTTTCGTCCTGTGCCACACCAGGGCATGTCGTGTCATGCCATCATGCCAGAGGATACCCGGGCGATGAGAACGCGTCAAAGTGCAAATGAGCTCAACGATGTCTGCATTTGGTGTGATGCGATTCCCCTCTTTGCATGAGGATGGGGGAATGGGGATGGAGCGGAGCGGAGCGTAGACAGAAGGCGTTGGGCAAACACAATAAATGCATTCATGCAATATGCATCAGGTAATCTCGTTGCTTTTAATCGCTGTTTGACATCAAAATTACAATTTTCTTAAGATGTTTTCTCGGCACCACCGGCACGGCACGGCACGGCACGGCCCCATCCATCTTGCATCTCTGCTATCTCTGCGTCTTCCATCTGCCTTGTGCCATCTGCATTTGAATAAAAAGGATATTCATTCATTGTGGCATGTTTGCTTAAGCCCTGCTTTTGATGCCCTCGGGTGGTCCTGGTAGCTGGTTGCTGGTTGCTGCCAACTGGCAACATCTTAAGAAAGTTTCTGTAACGATTTCTATGGCATAAAAGAGTCTCTCGCCCTCGCATCTTTGCATAGTCAAATTGAAAATTGATGCCGCAAATGGTTCCCAGGAGGGGATGGTGGCTGATGGGGGGGTGGGGTTGGATGTATGTAGCCCACAGTTTGTCCATCATCAAGAACTATGCTATGTGGACTTCCTGAATTGCGGACGGGGCTAATTTTGCACACCATGGACGACTACTGATCTCTCCCCGGCAGTTGCTGACCATTTTTCAGTTCCAGCTGGCATTTGGGGAATTAGAGCCCCCTTGTTCGGTGTCCACTTGGATTTGTCCTCTCTATTGATGCCCCGACACGTTCCAACAATCGCTCACTTTGACGGCTGCCCATTGTTTGAAGTTTTCCTCTTCTGTTCATTTTTTACTCTGTTCTTTTACATTTTTGTTGTATTTTTCTTGTATTTTTTTTTGTGTATAGTGTTTTTCCTGCTACTTTTGTGTGTTTCCCCTGTTTTGCTTGTTTCGTTTTCTAGATTTTTTTTTTTTTTTAGTTTTTTATACTCTCTAACAAAGGAGGTAGCTGAGAAAATGAGAGGTTTCTGTGGGGCAGGACTTTATTGAACGGCTCTTGGGCTCTTTTGTGGTCAGTCCAAAAGGCCGCTGATGGGGCATCTTGGGTCGAGCAGCCTTTTCGAGTCTTTTCGGTGACCCCTAAGTGTTTTAGCTGTAAGTTAATATACAATGCGTTCTCGGTCCTTAAAGAAATAAAGATTTAAAAATGAATAGCGTTTTGATAATCAAATCAAAAAATGCTGAGAGGATAGAGCGACGTAACAGCATCTGCAGCGATAGAAAAATGATTGGTGTACAGATTTTAATACTTGGAAACAAGCACCACATGTAGTAGATAAAATACATGTGTACGAGTGGCATCTTGCTTGCACGATAGCCATCAATTGTTTCCGAGCTAGGCCAGACAAACAGCAGACAGACAACTGACAAGGTACATCCATTGTCGACTATTCGCCATAAGCAGTCCCATTCTGTGACTCTACAATGGACCACTCTCTAACCAGTTTCTTGTTTATGTTTCTGGCATTGTCTTATTGTCCAGAAGATGGGTTCAGATGGACTCTGTTCTGTATGGGCGGGTGGGCAGCTGGCACATTGCCCCATGCATTCAGGTGAAACAGTTTTGCAATTTCACGCGGCCCCAAGCTCTGTTCTCTTCGGCACAACACACACACACACACACTCTCTGTCTCTGTCTCTCCCTATCTTTCTTTCTCTTTCACACACACTCGACTTAATCGCATTGGGCATCTCTTTTTGTGGTAGTAGTAGTGGATCCAACAACGTCAGCAGTTGGCTGGAAGACAAATGGAAGGCTTTCTCTTGCTTGGCTACTGGTGGCAGCAATTAAAAGATTTTCATGCTGCTTCAGCTGCTTTCGTTTTCTGTTACTCCTTCATCCATCCATCCATCCATTCATCCATCCACCCATCCACTACCCACTGCCACCCAGACCAGACCCAAAATCCTAGATCTTCTTCTGTTCTTATCCTTCCGCCATGAGTACACACAAATTTTTTGCTCTTGTCTCCATTTAGTCACTGTTAGTTTCAACTTTAAGGGTCATTTGTCTTTTTGCGAAAACTTTCGTCTCACTTTGTTTCGCCAAGTTGCCATGTCACTGTGACGGGCACGGGATGGGATGGGACATTCTCGTAGATAGTCGCCCATCGTCCCGCCCTGGTCTGGTCACTTTTTATGGTATGTGTATATTCATGTTGGTCAGAGAATTTCATAAGGAATTTCCAACTTTATAGAGCTCGAAAGACAGACAGACCGCAAGGATAGCTCAGCCTGGTCTAGAATACTCTGGGATGCCAAGCCAAACAGGGTTATCAGGCCTTTAGAGATAGGTAAAAAAAATTCACAGAGCTGTAGCAAGTATAATCGTTTAGTTTAGCATTGAGATAATAATCAAAGCTCAAAATCCGATTGGTTTTTTGTAGCTTTCTAGGGTATTAAGAGCTCTATCATTCCGGACACTTGTTCTAACCGCAAATATGGCGTGCAGTGAACCACAAAATGGCGAATGACCCCGCCAAACTATTGCCCACACACGCAGTCAGTCACATATATATACATATGTACATATGACCATCTGTGTGAGTGTGTGTCTGCAGGAACCGCAATAAACAATATGAATTTATATGCGCTCGGAAACATTTTAATTAATCACTGGAGGGCATCAATTGCATTTTGTATGCTAATAATTTGCGCTATAAATATTCCATAAACTTTTGCCAGAACCCCCTCGACCGAAACCCTACACGCTGCGGAAATCATAAAGGCCTCAGCTCTGTTAGTTTTCCTTTTTACGAGTACGGGACCCCATCTAACCTCTCCCCGTTTATTGCGCGCATTTTAAAATGAATTGATATTCAATTAAGCTAAAAATGCTCCCTCCCAGCGGGCACCGAGACCGGACGGACAAGAATGCAGCAAATAATAAATATTTATTTAGGTTTGCAGTTCATATTTTATATGGCACTATTGATGTGGGCAAGTACGTACGTCCTACGTCCAGTTGTTGCTTTTGACTGCGAGTACAGCACAAAAAAAAGTTAAGCAAACATTGATGGATGCCGGGGAATCGTTGGTGTGCCCCGCGGCACTACGAATGCTAAATGCTCTGTGCCAGAGAGTTTCATTGTCTGAACATGGTTCGGGGTACTGATTGGTACTGATTGCAGGAAATTCCGAAAGATATTTATCTGTACTACAACAATGCAATATTATAGCCTTGTTGGTGCAGTTTTAGCACTATTGGCAACATTTTAAATAAAGAATGCAACCCGTACGATTGGCTTTTCCACGTTTCGGTACCGCATGAGAGTGTTACTCTTCTCTGTTTTAGTTTTAGCCAGCATTTAGATAAGTTGAATGACATGTGCAGCACGAAAGAGTTGTCGCGGATAAGGAGTTCATAGTCTAAGCATACACGGCATAGGCTTGGGTCTCCTTGTCGAAGGCTATATGCTACTCGTACTGCGGATCAGCGCCCATTCGTACTCCTTTATGAAATACAATTCGTTCATCTCACATCTCACACCTCACAGATCCACTCAGCCTCCATTGATACCTTGTGGGTGTGTAAGCCACAATATGAGCGCCTGTCATCTCTGCAAAATGTTTAAAGTATATGTAAAAGGATCCACTGAATCACTCTGTAGCAGTCACAGAGCCTGCGTACAGAGTCCGACTAGAAGTAATCTTCAACACTCTAGTAGCAGCATCTCCAAGCACCCTACGAGTTGTATGGGACACATTCAATAAGCGGCGCTTGCCAGAAATTGCTGCTCCATTTTCTTATGGACTGGCATTGGCACTCCTCTAATCCATAAATTGTAGCAGAACTTTCTTACTTTAAGGATCCTTTAAAAATTCAATTAGTCATTCCCTGATGGAGCTTCCCTCAAACCAAGCAACGAAAAAAATAATCTATTTCGAATGGGGTTTAATGGGTGTATTGATTAGCAGACATTTTAATATGCGGCCAGCGCAAATAAACAATTAATACGGAAAATTAATGTACATTGTTCATTGTTATTCATTGTAAAAGGTAAATCCCCCAGACCCAATCCCAACAAGTCTTCCCACACCCCACACACCTCACACCCTATCCCTCTGACTGCGTGGACAACAAATTTTAATTATGCGCCATTCCAGGTTTCGATGGTTTGGTGTCGGGGCGTATCCAGATTTGTATATACATATGTATGTATTTATATATATTTTGTATTTGTGTATGTGTGTGCAGCTATATTGAAATATTAGTAATTATGAGTTGAAAATTCATGAAAATACAATTTGCGATTATTGTTATTAGTGTCAGGCAACAGGCAGGCAGGCAACAGCGGCAGGCAGACCTTCCTCAAGGGGACTCCGACTCACCATTCTCCGAATCTGACGCAAACTTTTTGGCAATGGCGGTAAAAGTTTTGTGTGTGCGGTGGGTACCCAGGACGAAGGGCTTCGGGGTTCGGGGTTCGGAACGGCGACAGCAGCTGAAAAATTTATAAATTCAATAGCACCTAATTAAAATTAAATCTGAAAGCTTGTTGTATCGATGGAGGACGGCTTAGAGTCAGAGCCAGAGCCGGAGCCAGAGCCAGGGCCACAACAACGACAGGAACAGGCAACAAGCAACAAGGCAACGCAACAGAAGCAATGGCTGGCCAAGGATGCCGGGAAAAGCAGCCAGGATATGCACGGTAAATGCTGTAGCCGGAAATGAACACGTGCTGACGTGTGCGAGCGTGTGCGGCAGGGAAAACTTTACCAACTGAAACGCTCTGTGTTTATTTATGAGCCAGGGTCTCTGCTTTTTCAGCCCAGTCTCTGCTCCCTTCCACTTCCTTCCACTGTTGGTGTGTGTGTGTGTGTGTGTGGGCTGGATGGTGGCTGTGTACCATATTAATTATTGAAAGATTTGATATCGGCTTAAAGTTACTCGGCGCCCCACTCCGTCGTCTGTTGCTCTTATTGTTTCTGCCTGCTGCACTGCTGGCTGAGTAAACACT